AGTCTACAGCATTAAGTGTTCCTCCAAATAATGTTAAGAAGTTCCTGAAACGAGTGGATTCTCCAATGACCTGCAGTCATCTCTTTGGTGGCTCAAGTTATGAGAATCAAAGAAACTAACTCCCCAAATGGTAGTTTCCAAAGAGATTGTAACTATTGTAGGGTAGCATTATGGACTAAACTGTGTTCCCCACCCAAAATTCATGTATTGAAGCCCTAACCCTCAGGGCCTCAAAATGTGACTGCATTTGTATTAATAAATAATGTCCCTACAGAAGTAGTTAAGTTAAAATGGGGTCAGTAGAGTGGCCCCAATCCAATAGGACTGGTGTCCTTATAAGAAGAGTTATAAGGTAAAGCCACCCAGTTTGTGGTATTTCAAGATGGCAGCCCAGCAAACAATATAGTCAGTAATAGAGGTTGTCTAATCACAGCTACAGAAATGGCCCTTAATTATATATGGGGGTTCTGACTCTAGAAAGTGAGGAGAAAATCTACTAAAAGGCCTAGCCAGGCATGTGCAATTCAACCTAACCCTTCTGTTAACCAATTTTGATGACAATCAGATAAAATAAATACTTATGTCAATGATGTATCAGGGAATAATAGCAAACCCTATTGAAACCTAAAGCAGATACCATGCAGCATATGTAGAAGTTTTATAATGTGAAATATCCCTGGACTGGAGACCAATCTTTATATTTCCTCTAGATTTTCAGAGAGCAAGACTGATAACATTTAACTTTTCAGATACGTACGGAACATAGTAGATGAGACAGGTAGAAATGTGAAGGTATAAACATGAGATAACTTTGAGAGTTCATGAAAATATTTAAAATATTTTAAAAATCAATGCATATATAATTCTTAAAATAGTAAGCAACATCAAGAAAGAAATGTTTGTTGCTACACAATAATCTTGAGGATTTTGGTCACAATGGGCTTTCCATTACACAAAAGAGCATTCAATTAACAACAATATTTACCAATATTCTCTTCAAAGTGCTTTTCAAACACCAAATAATTACCCAATTAAGCCACTGCAAGATAAGCTGTTATTACTCTGGATTTAGTGAAAGGGACTAATAATTACTATTTTAACAGTTTCTGTGAAGACAGACTCAATGTTTACTGTATGCATGGGCACATCCTACCCTTTTAATGAGTAAGGAACACACACACACATAAAACCAAAAGGCTGATTATCTAAGTGCATTCAGTGCAAGACCCGAGATGACTAAGAAAGAACTAAGAGCCATGACCTGTGAAAACAGAGCCTTTAATATGCAAAGCAGAGGCCTCAATTGGCAGAAGGCTATTTATGAATCCTGCCAATACTTGGTATTGCAGACTGACAATAGAGAATCTTTGGTCGTGCCCTGAACAACATAATTCATCACACAAGTGCTCGAGGCAGTCATGTCCAAGCAATTTATCATCATCATATCACTCGTCTGAGTATGAGAGGGGGAGAACTTTGATTGTTAACCTCTAGGGAGACTGGATTTATAGCCAACGTCCCTAAGAATGCAGCACGTCTCTGCCCAAAGCAAAATGCTCCTTGCTTCACTTCTGTTTAAGTCAGAGTAAAAGAGTGAGCACACTGCCCCTAGGTCCTTGAGAGCAAAACCTAGGTCTGATACTCTTAGATGCAAAATGGAATAGCCAGGCAATCTTTTAAAAATACTCATTGAAGCTGTATGGAAAAAAAGAAATTAGTCAGTGGTAAGTATGGATGATTCGTTTCAAATGTCCTTTGGTGACAAAAATAATTTCTGAAATGCAACAACTGATAACTGCATTTGGGAAGAATCCTCTCTTTACAACTCATCCATGATTATTCCTCTATATTGGAACACTTGGAAGTACACTGAAAATTTTAAAAAATACATAGATTGTGTTTTTCGAAGTAAAAATGAGAGCCTTGATTTCTATCCCTTCCAGGCTCGGAGGCTTTATATATTTTACACTTTAATACCAGATGCCCTTATGGAATATAATTAAACATCTAAATGCCATTCTTGCCACCTTTGATTAAAATTATGAAGCTCACTGGAGCATTATGGGAACCAGGGCACCTGGCATCTCCTCACAGCGTGAAAGGCATGAGTCACAAGGCATGTCTCGTACAGCACCTTCCTGAAGGTTCCCAAGGTCAATGGGGCATGCATATAGCATGCATATAACTCACACCTTACCTGAGTATCTGAACTAGGCAGGCTAGGCCAGGCTGTGCTGCGATAACAAACAAATCCCCAAATCTCAGGGTCTAAACACAACAAAAGTTAGTTTCTGGCTCATCGTATTCACCTAACACAGGGTGGTAAGTGGCTCTATTCATTGCTGTCATCCTGTGACTCAGGGTGACAGGGCTGCCACTGGGTGGTCATTGTGGCAGAGGAGAAGAGGTTGTGAAATATCTTTCGCTGGCTCTTAAAACTGTCACCTGAAAGTGACACGTGTCACTCCACTTACATTTCATTGGCCAAACAAGGCACGTGGCCATGCTGGCCAGGAAGGGTACAGAGAAACAGTCAGTATTGGTTACTCCCATGCTGAGCAGGCAGAGGTATGTGTACTCAGGTAGCTTTCACGGAACAGGTGGTCAGAACCAAAGAGCCAGTTTATGCCAGATGGGACCAGGTGTCTTGTTTTTCTTATTCTTTTCCTTTTTTAAACAAGGAAGGATGTCTATGAATGAGAAGAGTTTTGTTATAAAAGTCTTAGTAGAAAAACCTGGGCCACCGAACATATACTAGAAAGAACAGCTACAGAAAAACAGAATGGGGCCGCAATTGGTGTATGAAAAAAAAATAGTCAACAACTATCTCAGCCAAGTTCCTAGGGCTGCTGAGCAGGATAGAGCTTGATCAGGAAGTCTCAGACTGTTCTGGATGGTTGACTGGGTTATTTCAGACATTGGAGGAGAAAGACTCCTCATGTATGAACATGTTAAGCAAGGTGGACATTTCCCAAGCTCCTCTCATGGTATGCAGTTCATCATTTTGTCTTTAAGCTTCATTCCAGAAGCAATCTATAAAATGCCTGCTTAAGGATTCTTGACTTCCTATACTCACAAGGATCCTGTCTATGGTCAAGACCAGGAAGGCACCAAGTACATAGCTCATACCTCTCCAGATTCTCAATGTTTCATCTATTACATCTCTGCTCCTGTTCAGCTCAAAATTTAATGACTCACGTTTCAAATTTGCCATTTTTCTTGATTGCAGCCCCTTGCTTGCAATTTGTAGCTGTTTGTTAACTTACTTATTTGTTGGCTCCTCCTTTGTTTCCTCTTGCCCTTCTACCTCTAACCAGAACATAAACTCAAAGAGACTGGCATCCTTATTTGTCCTGTTCTTAGTGCATATCCAGGTACAAAATACATATTTATGGATTGAATGAACAGATCCTTCCTGAGGACCTTGTAATTTCAATTTTATCACAAAATGGCACAATTAGGTTCTTATTTTCAAAAATCCATAGATTAGATTGAGTAGAGACCTAGAGATCAATTACCTTTTAAATCTGCCTAGAAAAGATAAATAATCTAGCTGGGTGCAGTGGCCCACGCGTATAATATTAGCACTTTAGGAGCCCAAGGCAGGAGGATCACTTAAGGTCGGGAGTTCGAGACCAGCCGGAGCAAAAGCGAGACCCTACAAAAGAGCGAGTCTCTACAAAAGAAAGAAAAACTAGCTGGGCCTGGTGGCGCACACCTGTAGTCCCAGCTCCTCAGGAGGCTGAGGCAGGAGGATGGCTTGAGATTGCTGTGAGCTATGAGGAGGCCACTGCACTCCAGCCTGGGCAACAGAGCAAGACTCTGTCTCAAAAAGAAAAAAAAAAAAGCTAAGCGAAATGGAAATATATTTTGCTATTGTATTCCAAATATCCATATCACATACATTTTAGTAACTTTTATTACACTTAAAGTAGCATCCAGACCCCACATATGAAAACATAATTTCATAAAGTCACACTATGTGAATCTGGTGTTGAAATTATCCTTTTAAAAATTACTTTGCTATCTTGCTATTGACAGCAAGTTGTCTGATCTATTTTTCTTTGCAGGGTGCACTGAGATTTCTTTTTGAAGGGGGTCTAGTTATTTCTGGCATGACATCAGACCTTTAGGGTAACTGCTGTACACTCCTACTGTCTATGTAAAATAAAATGTAACTGGCCAAGTAGGTGTCATAAGTCCCAGAGCACTTTTGCTTACAAATAGATATATATATTTTGAGATAGAGTTAGTCACGCTCTGTCGCCCTGGGTAAAGTGCGGTGGCGCGATCATAGTTCACAGCAACCTCAGACTCCTGGGCCCAAGTGATCCTCCTGCCTCGGCCTCCCAGAGTGCTGGGATTACAGGCATGCGCCACCATGCCCAGCCTTTTCCTTATAGATATTTATATTATTTATTCTCTGTGACAATGAATGCGACGATCCTTTAGCACAGGAATAAAATCTTGTCAGTTTCCTCCACTGTCGAGGTGATTTGAGGACGCGTGGACTCGAGTTTCTACACAACGCAAAAGTTCAGCAACGTCCCCGTCGTGGGCGTCTTTACAAACACCCCGCGACAGCAAGGCTGTGCGACCCTTGCTAGCATGCCCAGGGAGCGCACAGAAGTGTGTTTGGAATCGCTTTGTGATAGAAACACGAGACAGGAAGCTAAACGGCGGGGCTGAGGCCTGAGGCTTGGAGGGACGAAGTAAAAAGTTAGGAAAAGGGAACGAGCAGGGCCTGATGACACCCCCAGGGTGTCCCTATCAAGCCACCCAGAGTGCAGGACACAGGACTTCCAGCAACACGCCGTCTCCAAGCCTGGCCAGCAGCCCAGGCCGGGTCGCTCAGCCCGCGCTCCCCTCGCTGCAGCGTCCCCAGGGCGGGGGTTCGGCAGCAGCCAGTCCCCGGCGTCGGGTCCCCTGGTCCCCACCCCTCCTACCGGGCCCACCGCTCCTGCGCCCACTTAGGCAGCAGGCGCCTTCCCGCTGCTCACCATGCACCGCCTGCTCCCCCGGAGCCCTTGGCACTACCACCGTCCCGGGCCTTTTCCGCGTCCCCGCTGTCCTCCCTCCTCGCCCTCCCCTCGGGTCTTCTCCCCGCCCCGGCCTGGGCACGCCCGGCCACGCCCCCATCCCGCCTGGTCACGCCCCACTCGCCCTGGGCCACGCCCCCACCCCGCCTGGTCTCTCCCCGCTCGCCCTGGGCCACGCCCCCACCCCGCTGGTCTCACCCTGCTCGCCCTGGGCCACGCCCCCACCCCGCCTGGTCACGCCCCACTCGCCCTGGGCCACACCCTGCGCTGGCCCTGGCCACGCCCCACTCCGGTCTAGACCACGCCCTTCAGACCCTTGCCACGCCTCTCCCTGGTCCCCGGCCACGCCCAGCAGGTTGCTGCCCGGCCACGTCCACTTCCAGGCCCAGTCTGGGCTCCAACAGCTGGCGGGCCTGTTCTGAACCAGTTTTATTACCCTGTAGCTGCAGAAGCCAAGCCGGGTGGAAGCCCACTTCCTCTGCACCCGTCAGGGTTGGGGAACCTGTGGCCTTCCGATCTCAAGATTGTTCTTTTTTAAGCACCAAAGGAAGCAAGAAAAAAAGTCATCTTTCTCTGCTGCACCCCTTTTCATAAAAGGATTTGTTCTGTAAAATTTGGATTCAGTCAAAAGACCTCACTCAAGGACATAGAAGGTCACATGTGGCTTTAAGGCCACAGGTTCCCCACCTCTGGGAGGGACTAGATCCCTGAGGGCAAAAGAAGTAGCTGCATTTCCCCCAGAATGGAGCCTTTTGGAGTTCCTTTAGTTTTCTCCAAAGATATCAATCAAATCAGAAGTGGCCAGGCTGGCAATTTTGTGTCACAATAGGCTCTGGATCCCCATCCTGAATACTTAGAATATTGGGTTTGTATTCCCAATTCTTCTTTTGTTGCATGCCCCTGGGCCTGAGTTTCCTCCTCTTTAAAATTAGAGTTCTGTAGTAGAACACTTGGACTGGCCCAGGACTTTATGCGACTGAAATAGCTCAGTGAATGTGTGTGAGTCTGTTGGCACAGGGTGGTACTAGGAGCAGGGGCCCCAGACAAAAAGGAGAAATACATGTAAGTGTTGTAGTGTCCAAGAGCAGGCTGTCCCTCCACCCTTCGAATGTTCCTGAAAATCAGCGGCCAGGGGCAGACTAGCAGGAAGGAAGGCATACACGTTTACTGGCTCATAGTTCTATGTGACTCAGGAAACTTCAGATTGGAGACCCAAGGATGCAGGGAAGAGTGTCCATTCTTTTGTTTAGGTTCAATAAAATATGGATGGCTGTGGAGGATTGGACAAAAAAAGGGTATGATCTAATGCTAACAGACTGAGAAAACCCAGCAAGGCCTGTCTGTCTAGATTCTTTGTGGGTCTCTGAGCAGCATCCTTCCTCCTGGGTGTGGGGCAGGGCACTTTCTGGAATGGGGGTCTTATGACCCTCAATCAAACAAGGTCAGCCAAATAATTTCTTTATGGCCAGTTTATACATAGAACTGGAGGGGCGAATTAGAGTCATATTTTGAGATTTTATGGCTGGCTTGGAGGAAAAGGAGTTCTGGGTCCTATGAATTGCCTTGAGGTTGAGGGATTCTGGTATCCATATTCTAGTCTTGGTGAGTACTGAGGGGCCAGAGGGAGGACAGGAGATGATCAGAGAGTGCTCCCTTCATTCTGGGGTACTGTTTTCTGGGCTCCAACAGTATTACACCATAATCAGTTAGTTTTATCCTGAATTCTGAGAAAAAGAGGTTGGGCATTCAGATAGGAAGAGCCTACAGGTGTCATTTCAAAGGAAGGTAGAGATAATAATAATAACAGATAATGTTTATTGAGGCCAATGCTGCCAGGGTTTCTAACAGGTATATGTTGTCTTGTTTAATTTTTTTTTTTTTTTTGAGCAACCTATATATGGTAGGAGCTATTTCCCTCCAGTTACAGATAAGAAAACAGACTTAGATGAGCATCTTGTTCAAGGCTAGGACTAGAACTCAGTCTGGTTCATATCGATCACTACACCATGCCTTCTTAGTAGAAGAAATAAATTAATCTAAGTCAGAAAGAAAGAGGAGAAAAGTATATACAGATCTGGTTTTCTGCTTTGTTTTTTTTTTTTTTAAGGGAGGTAAGAGTATGAGAAGGTATCAAGAAAGGAGGTTGATTGGTAAGGAATAGGCAGAGAGAAGATTTTGAGAAGAACAAAGGTTCTTACGTAGGGTGGCTTGGTAGATCCTAGAAACAGGGAAGGGGATAAAAATAGGGCCCAAGAATAGGAAAAACAAGAATAGATGTTGGAATGAACAAACAAAAAAAAGAAAAAAAAAGAAAAAAAGCATAGATGTAGAAGTTAGGAATTTGAGAGATATGAGTACTGGGAGAGTTGGATATTAGTAGGAATAATTGGAGCTCATACCAAGATTATATAATGAGTAGATGGATCGAGAGAAACTTCTAGAGTGGTTTCAGCACTGGCTGCCACTTTGTGTGTGTTACAACCACAGAGCCTGGCAATGGTTGTTAAGGAGAGGCCTAAAAGTCCATTATTTTTAATGTTATATATTTCAGTAGTCCATGCTGCCAGATGTGAAATTATACACAGACTCTTGTTTAAAAAATGACTTTGGTTTCTCTTTATGGAAGTTACTAAATTCTCCACTGCCCACATTAAACCCATGGAGCAAGATCTGTGAAGGATTTCACATACAGGCTCTTCTTTCTATGGCTTTACTCCTAAAAAAAGACAGTGTTAAAGCGAAATTACGCTAGATTTTATTTCTCTTTGAAAGAAGTAGCTACAAAGACACTTCAAATTAGTACACAGGAGATTTATTTCAGGAACTTTATCAAACCATTGTGAACAGGTGTGTTCAAAGGCAGAGATGATATATAAATCCCATGTTCAAACTAGAATGTAACATCTGTGTATGTACTATAATCCTATTTCACATTGTAAGTGATTTGAGCACTACTGTTAGTTAAGCACCAAATGCTATTGTATTTTTTAAAAGGTAAAATAAACATTCTTCAGCACTGGCCTCAAAATCTGCTAGCCTCAGGGACAAAAAGGCAAGAATGGTTGAAAAGTGTCTTTTATGATGTTCTGCTATATCAAAAATGATAATCTGGCATCAAGCTTGTGCCCAACTTTATTTTTCAGTCTTTCTTCCAAGGGAAGCTTAACTTGGAAATATTTTTTGAAACCTAGAATCCCAGTGCACTGTCATAGGTCTGTGATGAAATAGCAAAGTTAAAAATCACATTATTAAGGAACCAAAGGTTTCCAAATCAATCTCTCAGTTAAGGGTTTAGTTCAAATGCACTCTCATTTCTACAGTACTTGCTTTTCATTTTCATAGTATCTTTGAATTTGGACAGTACCTGTACTCAGAAACACTAAATTGGCAGAGAGAATGAAATCAAAACTAAACATCCAAAGCCCCTTGCTGTTTGGGTTCAACTTCTAGAAAGCACCCAGATTTTCATCACCCTAGTTAGTTGTTTTAAATATTTACACAAAAATAGTCTATAGAAATAATTTGGGAAGGTCAAGATATAAAGTAATCTGGATTATTATCAGATAAGTAGCAGGAAAAAAAAAGAGCTTATGATGTTAATTCTTTAAATGATGTTATCAAGTATTAATTGTTAATTGGAAGTTGAAATGTACAGTGTTGCAGAGATTTTCTTGGTTTAATCTTTAGACGTAGTGTGACAAGCCATTCCTATCATTTTTAGTAAATCTTTTATAGACACCATTGTCACAAGAGGCTTAGAACAGAATTTTCAACACACATTTTTTTAAAAATCAAATTTCTATTCTTTTTTTTTTAATAGAGACAGGATCTTGCTATGTTTCCCAGGCTGGTCTTGAACTCCTGACCTCAAGCCATCCTCCTGCCTCAGCCTCCCAAAGTGCAGGATTACAGGTATGAGGCAGCATGCCTGGCCCAATTCCTATTCTTTATACTCCCCAGAGAATACAACTAACTATCTAACATATTTTATTACTTCACCTAGATGCAAAGAAAACAATGAAATTAAAATTATTCTAGTTCTTAAACAGACAAATTAAAAACAATTATCACCCAATTGAATGAACCTTTTACTGAAGACCATGTCTTTATCAATGTTGTTACAACCTTTCATTGAAGTCAATGACAAGTTTGTCTTGAAAAATATTTTGACTTTATAGCTGCTGTGAAAAACAGTGTGACAATTTCTCAAAAAAATTAAACAGACTTGCCCTGTAATCCAGCAATCTTGCTTCTTGGTATATATACCCAACAAGTAAAAACAGGGACTCAAACAATCATTTTTAGTGGCATTCTTTCCAATAGCCAAAAGGTGGAAGCAACCCAAATGTCCATCAGCAGATAAATGAATAAACAAAATATGATATATACAAGCAGTGGAACATAATTTAACCTTAAAAAGAATGCAATTCTGATAATGCTATAACTTGGATAAACCTTGAAGACATTATGCTATATGAAATAAACCAGACACAAAAGAACAAATATTGTAATATTTCACTTGTATGAGGTACCTTGAGTCGTAAATCCATAGAGACAGAGGGTAGAATAGTGGTTTCCAGGGGAAGAGAGGAAAGGGAAAATGGGGAGTTATTCTTTAATGGGTGCAAAGTTTCAGTTTGGGATGATTAAAAATAGTTCTGGAGATGGATGGTGGTGATAGTTGTACGACGACATGAATGCACTAAATGTCACTGAACTGTGCACTTAAAAATGGTTATGATGGTAAGGCATTGGACACCAGCCTGAACAAGAGCGAGACCCTGTCTCTACTAAAAGTAGAAAAAAATGAGCCCAGGAGTTTGAGGTTGCTGTGAGCTAGGCTGACACCACAGCACTCTAGCCCAGGAGACAGAGCGAGACTCTGTCTCAAAAAAGAAAAAAAAAAGAACCTGCAAAAACTTGAATTAGAACACTTATGACTCTCATTTGTTTTTGCTAGTGTTAAATAAAAGGTCATAATTTTAAATTATATCAGCATTACTTTAAAAAAAAAAAAAAAAAACCTTGTTAA